AAGTATATAATATGTATACACATATAAACTTTTTCAGGCTTTGCTTGGTGGAAGCAGGGAAGAGGGCCTTGCTCTCCCAGCATCTTCTTGCCTTCCCCAGCCTGGAGATCCTGATCTCCATGGAGCTTGGCTGGAAAACGGCACTGGACACACAAGTGGCCCCTCGGATCATTCTGATAGTGGCTGCATCAAAGGACCTGTGCCCAGTGTTCCCTGTCGGAAGTGGATCTGATCCCACCAGCTCTTGGCCCCACTAGCCCAGTGGCCTTGGGGCTGAGAACGCAGGACTGGGCCAGCCCTCGAGTGCCATCCCAGCAAAGAAAAGAGCTGCTATAGTCTGAGCCAATTTAGGAGAAAATAACATTTTTTGCAAAACATGTCCCTGGAGTCTCTTCCAAGAGTTCCTCTGGTTGCCGAGTGTAGCCCCCGGCCAGTGTGCTGAAATGACAGTACCCACTAATAATGGCCATCTCCCCAGAGGCCCACACACCTGCAGTCACACACACACACGCCCCTCCAGTCACCTGAAACATGCTTGCCGCTCACTCTTCCGACGTCTGTGTACACACACACACCACGCACACACATACCCCTCCCCCGCCTGTCATCCCTTTGGCTCACTCACACACAATTCCACCCGCAGAACGACACACACAAACACATACCCGTGGTCACACTCGGACATACTCACACTACGTGTTCTCTAACAAACACACAAACCCCCGCAAAGCTCCCCTTGGCACACCTTTGCCCGCACACTTCTTCATACAGACAGACAGACAGAAATGGTGGCAGGGTGAGTGGGACAGGACTGCCTCCAACCCAGCAGCCCCATCCGACACAGAGACTCCTCCTGGAGGAGGAGGTGGGAGGGACGTCCCTTCCCCCAGATGGGGCTCAACCCTCTCACACATACAGCCCAGCATCCTCAGGGTCCTCGGTTTCCTGGAGGCCAGCCTGAGACCCAGAGTCCAGCTTTCTGTCCACAGCTCAGGGGCCTTGGCTTTCCTACAAGGCTCAGGGCACTGAACGTTCTCTAGGTGAGCACACTCCTATTTCTTAGGAAGATGGGTTTGGACTCTCCCAACACAAGTGTCTCTCGGTTACCCGTCCATGCTCACAGCCTGGGGGGAGTTTTTCTTTTGGGCTCCTCCAAGTGACTGCTGTCGGCAGCCAAATGCCACTGCCATCAGTCTGCCTTCTCAGAACCATTCCGAGTAGCTGGATCAGAACAGGCACAAGATGCAGAATCCTGGGAGTTGGGTGGGGGAAGCTTGGAAGGTGGCTGGATTCCCCGGGGAGGATGTGGACTCCTCAACACAGGGGTGGGAAAGCACTTCCAAAACCCTGGAATCCCTGGGAACAAATCCCAGGGTCAACAGTCTCAACTACACTTGGAAAAGGTACACATTCACTGCCGGCCCCAGAGAGAGGGGACCAGGCCTCGTGGCCAGAACAGGTACCGCCATCAGAAGCCAGTCAAATTTCTCTCCTGTCCAGTTTAAAGTCCCCACGTTGCAGTGTCCCCCTGGACTCAGTGGGGCAAATGCTTCCTTCAATGTACTCTGGGTGCCAGTGGATTCAAATACTGTGTTCAGTTACCAAAGGTGCCTACCCCTCTTTCCAAAGAACACTGGATTCAGGGCTAGCATCGTATCTGCCTATGCGACCTGTGCCCTGGACACGGGCATCCAGCAGAGGAGGCCTATGGGGCTGAAAACAGCCTGCGCCTGGGGACCGCGCTCACCAGCAAGGCCACCTCATTCTCTTCTGCGCATGTGCTGGATGCAGCCCAACCCACTTTCCAGTAAGTTTCTCTCCCTGCAGGCCCACTCCCTAGCCCCGCTCCCAGCCCCGCTCACCCATCAGGCGTGCTCCTCCACGGCAGGGTCAGCCTCGGGCTTGGAGCAGATCTTGGCAAACACTGGGAGCTGCTTCTTCGGAGCAGGGAGTTCTAGGAGCTTGTCGAGTTTGGCGAGAGGCGTGGGAGGAGGCGGGGGAGGCAGCAGCAGGAACGGGCCCAGCCCCCCGGGCTCCTTGGGTCCGGGGCCACTAAACATGCTGTTCTGCAGGAAGTCCTTGATGACCCTGGTCTCCTCCAACACCATCTCGTTGGGGACCTTGGGCATTTCGGTGGACTTCAGTGGGAACTGGGACAGGAGCTGGCCGATCTCCATGTTGGAGGCCCCCAGGCTGCGGCCCCTGTCCTCTGCCCCCTTGGCACTCTTGACCTTGGCAGCCGGCAGGATGCTCGTGACCTTAGGCATGGCAGAGTCACAGTCCTGCCGGCTGCCAATAACGGACACAGCCACCTTCGGTTCCAGAAGCTTGTCGCTGGCCATCACGGAGGCTCCTGAGCGCTCACTGCTGCCTGCCATCAGCGACGGCATGAGAAGGCGGGGAGCCGGCAGTCTGGGCCCCTCGGGAGAGCTGCCAAGTGCCTCTAGGTCCTCTGAGCCCTCTGTGCCCAGGATGAGGTGCTCTTTGGTGAGGCTCAAGAACTCCTGCTCCACCAACAAGGAGATCTCATCTTTGCTGCTGGTGAGCTCCAGAGCCCTGCAAACAAGTCAAAAAATGGATGGCTGCAGTGCCAGCTCTCGGAGGGTGGCTCTGCTGCGGGGTGCAGGCCCCAGGGGGGAGGAGGGGGGGAGAGGTCGTTTCCAGGCGTGAGAAACCTATTGCCTCTTAAGAGAGAAAACGGACCAGAGTGGCCTCCACGAGTTCCCACATCACACCTGTGGGCACAGTACTGCAAGTGAGGCTCTGGGATTCGGGACACCTGAGTCCCCTCCCGGTACTAAATGCTGAGACAGCCGAGCCTGGATTTCAGCCCATCTCTCCCCGTTCAGCCGTGCCCAGGACTTGAAGCAGTAAAAACTAGCAGCTAAGCGGTCAAGACTGAGCCAACAGCTCTGAGCGTGGTGTCCGGAGGGCTGGGGCTGAGTCCTGGAGCCCCCAGACGCACTGCAGGGTGGCAGGGTGAGAGCAGGGGCTGCGGGGCAAACAGCGCGAGCTCACACCCCGGCTCTGTCACTTCCCAGCTATGTGACCCTGGACACATTGCTCAGCATCTTGTCACCACTGTCTCCTGGCTAACAGGGATATCGCAGAGACGCTTCAGACCACGTATGGCACAGAATAACGGTAATACAAGTGTCAGCTAGTATGTCTACATGTCTGCCAGCTTGGCAGGGCCCCTGGATCTTGAATTCTGCGCAGTGGCTCTGTGGATACCCACATTCACCTTGGCTGGCTTGGCCCTCTGACCAGATAGATCACGGTCTCCAGACCAGGCCCCACCTCCTGGGAGCACCAGCAATTGCTTGATCCCTATACCAGTTCACAAGCATCTCCCTGCATCTGAACACTGGCCTCCACCTGCACCTCAGCCCTGGGGCCTCCAGCTGGACCCTTGCTGGCTGGCATCAGCCTGATGGGGCCTGATGGTCCGATGGACTCTAGGCTGCTGAGTGCTGGCTCTCTCCAATGTGGGAGAGGGTGGCAATCCTGCTGGCCTGGCTTGTGGCCCAGCCTGCCCCACCAGCACCCTGGCACTCCAGGAGGACCATGGCCACTCAGCTTAGAGCTATCTGCTGTCCCTGCTGAGTGGGCTCCCCATCCAGTGTAAGATGGATGAGGTGGCCTACACAGAGCATTCTGGAAACTGCTCGGCACTCTACCCCTAGGAGAAGGTGGTGAAAATGGTGAAAAAGAAGCAAGGGAAAAACTAAAGCGCCCCATGAGTGGAGTTTGGGGAGGCTGAGAGCACATTCCTCCTCTGACAACCCATTCTGCGGGTGCAGTGAGACCTGAAATGACTACTGAATGTTCCCAGCAGGGGTGCACCTTCCTGCTAATGCTCTGTATGAGCACACGCGCACACACACAGGCATACACTCACACGTGCAGCGCAGGCACACGATGACTCAGTCACCACACATAGAACCAGGGAACAGTATTTGACAACCAATCAGAATGGGAGCAGGTTGTAGTCCCAGAGGCTTCCTACTGTGCTGGGCACTAACCCCTTAGTTACTGGGTCCTAATGACAACCAAGGGGGTCCTGGAAAAGGTGCTGGGTGGCCAGGGCACTTGGGGAGCACAGAGAAGAGTTAAAAACTTGGGAGCTTGTTGCTATTCTAACAAGTGAGGCAGCACACCTCCTGAACACCAGCCCCACAGGTAGCCTCATCAGGTCTGGAGGCAGAGAGTGGCGACAGGAAAAGTAGCCTCCAGCCAAATGGACTGAGATCACTATCCAGCTCCACTGCTTCTGTCATGTCAGGTCCTGCAACCCCAGGGATCCCGTGTGACGGGGCGTGACACCTGTGACACGGGCGGTGCACTAAATGCACCCACCCCCTGGGTGGTAACCCACGTGTGGGCTCAGCACCGATGCGCACACAGGAAGCACTGGGCACACGGCAGCTGTGAGTGGCAGCTGGAGTGGGCGGGCCCTGGAAGCTCCTGGAGGCCAGCAGGCCAAGGCCACCACTCTGCTCTCTCACTCTTCCCTGCCCTCCCTCCTATTCCCATCCTTTCCTCCTTCCCATGTCTAGACTTGGTCCACAAATTGACCCCACTCTCACTGCCGGGTCCCTGGGAACACTTGGAAGAAAGAGGCTGCCAATCCACAGCCCCGAGTTGTAGATCCCCATCTTCCTCTTCATCGTTCCTCAAAGGGAACAGGGGAGATTCGAGTCACAGAAACCTGGCATTTGAAGAACAGGTTTTTGCTTCTTCCCGCACCCATCCCACCCAAAAAACTTGCAAAGCAAGCCATATACCAATAGATTTTCTGAATTAGAAAGACCACAATTATGTTACCTTTTAAAAATTGGGATAATGGTATTGTGGTTCCACTTAAACAACAACAAAAGGAGTCCTTATCTCTTAGAGATACATGCTAAAGTACAGATAAGTCGCGTCTGGGATTGGCTTTAAACTTAGTCCAGCAAGGGGGGGAGGGATGAGGGGACAAAACAAATTGGCCTTATGTCGGTCATCATTAAGGCTGGGCGAGGGGTACTTGGGTTCGTGATCTAGTATTTGCTCTGTTTTTGTCTGTGTTTGGTTTCTTTTTTTTCCCCTAAAATAAAAATGTTCTACAATAGATGTATACCCAGAAGTCTCACCACTGACTGCTTTAAAGTACTGGTTCCAAGGGGAAATCAAAGCAGCTTCTAAAAGACCCACAGGTCCTGAGGTCCCTGTACCAAAAACCACCCCACGGGTGGTCCCTTCTCCGCACTGAGAGGACACTCCTACCCCTCCCCAACCCAGGAGCCAGGCTGGCGGAGAGGATTCCGCAGAGGCTGCGTGCAAATCCCTGCTCGTATTCCCTGGTCATTCTCCTCTGGACACATTACAAGGGTCAACGGGCCTCTTAGGGAGCTGGCATTCCCAGAAAAGGCAGTGCCAATCTGGCTATGGGTCCTTCGTGTGCCCCTGAAAGGCTGGCCCCGAGCACCCAGCTCTCCCCGGGACAGCCTCTACAGACTCCTATTCCCTTTCCATCTGCCATGAATCCACTACAGGCCAGAGAGAGGCTGGCCTCACTTGTATGTGTGCCTTTAATCCTCTCCACACCCCTGGGCAATGGACAGTATCCTCCTCACTTTACAGATGGGAAACATGAACCTGAAAGAGGCAAAGGACTTTGTCACCTTGTCACTGAGAAAGTGAAGAGGCTGGTGTAGGGGCGCTGCTGGGTCTGGCTGACGGCACTACCCCCTCCCACCCCACCCGGCTTCCATTCCAGGGCTGGTGCCCTGCTCCATGGCTGGGCTTTGTTCCCCAATCTGAATGCAACGAGGGATGTTGCCAGGCTCATCCCATCACTCCTGCCTGTGGAGGACCATCACCATGAGTCCTGAGCCTGTCGTCCATGGCATTAGCTGTCCCTGACAGCTCTGTGTCACCTGCCTGTCTGATGGGCAAGTCTTCGGAGTCTCCCGCCAGTTTACAGATAGAAATGTTGAAGGGGAGAGTCCAGGGCTGAGCCTTAGGGACCTTGCTAGAAACCCTCCCCCGAGTCTGACAGTAATCCTGGGTCAACACTTTGGGGGAATAAATCAATTCAGTCACTATCATCCTCTCTCCACTTCTCCAAGACAGCCTTTATTAAATACCTCGCTGCCATCAAGATTCAGCACACAGCTACAAGTCCCTGAGCAAGGGTCTCTCCTATC